TCAGAAAGGTTGAAATTGTCCCATAAGAAAGAGCACTATTGCCTGAGATACTTTGCTAAATAAATTGCTCAATGCTTACTTCAGGCACAGATGCAAATGTATGTTTTTGAAACATTTTTTCTGAATAAAGAAATTATTATTATTAATAATAATTAAAGTTTGCAGAGATAGCCGCCTTATCGTCAGTATTTAGGTACGGTGCTTTAAAATTTGACCATGACATTTCAGAGCACTACAATAAAACGAGCACGAAATAAAGACTTAAACTGTCTGCATCAACAAAAGAACTAATTTAAATAGTGGACAGTTTAAATGCCAGTTTTGACTTTTAAGCCATTTTTGGCCAGAACTAATAACATTTTGAAGCTAGAAAACTAGAAAAAATAATTTTCATAGCTAAATATTTTAGCCACCTTTTCTGGCTTCTTTTAACTTAATTGTGCTAGGAGGACACTAAAAGTTGAAAAAATTAAGGAAAGATTCTTCTAAGACACTATGCGGAGTTAGATCATATGAACCCAACAACACAATAAAAATATGTAAACATGATTTGGAAAATCATATTTGTCTGTAGTTTGTCATGTTTCCATTAAAATAAATATTATCAAAATTAAAAATTTCTATCTAAATGCCAACGTAATGCTAATTGTTCATGAAAATAAATCTTAGAATAATTTGGAAAAACTCAAACTGTTAAAATATGCAATATAATATCAAGTTCGGGCGCGCGGTCTGACTTATATCAGTACAATCGCTCGTGAATGTCCCACTTATTTGAAATACTTTAAACAATAAAATTTCTTACCGCGTCTTATCACTTCCTTGACCATAATTCAAAATTTTGCAGACAACTCAGCATTTTATTTCTATTCCTTTGTTGAGTGAGTAATTTAAAAATGGAACTAGGTACCTTCTAAAACAAAAACATTGTGTCAAAAATACTGTCCTGAACTGAATGGAATTATTGCCACTTTTGCAAATATGGAATTCCTTAATATCTATAAACTTGTGCGTGATTAAGCTACTTTACCCAGATCGTCAATGGAATATTAAATTCAGTTATGAACCCTCACAACCTATTGGAACTGTACAGCACCGAAACAAATCGTTTCATCAACCCCAAATGAAATTTTTACACGGTAGAGTATATTACTGGTTTAGACTTTACTGGAACAGACGCTTTTTACTGGAAACGAGGCATTCCATCTTAGTCTATTCGTAATCGAGGATAGATGTAGTAAAAGTGTCTCCGGTTGTCTACACACGCCATACGAAACACAGCAGCATGAATCTGCAATATACTAGAGCGTGGTCCTTCCCTGGTAGAGCCGACCCATTCATGTTGCATATTATAGCTGCAACATGTCTCTACCACGTAAAACTTCTGATGACTAAGTTGGAATGGCTCACAGCCTGTAAGTATATTGTCTCTCATTTCTATTATCTAATGTAATAATGCTAGACGGTGGTGATACCTACCCAGGCGTATTCCTAGGTAGGAAATGAGTCCTACAATCTAATAATATGAATAATTGTTTAATTTAATTAACTAAAATTAATTCTTGAAATTATAATTCTCGGTCATCTTCAGTATTATATTTTAATGCATGAAATAATCCTTAATATTTTGCGATAAAGCGGACATTTACGAGTACGATGAGTCAGCGATATACCTAGTACCTATGTTTATATTTTATAACATTTCTTTGTATTTATTTTTTGGCCATAAGTATATAGGTTCTAACTTTGAGATATATTAAAAAGAATTATAATTAAATTATAAATTATTTATCGTTGACACTATTTGGAACAGACAGAAAGGTTAAAGATCGGTTACGATTAACTTATTATCAAAAATTCATACTATTCACATTTGTTTTATTTTTATTTTTAATCTTCGCGACACATTTTACTAAATTATTTAAGGAGTTCCTATTGTAACGTTATACATTGATAGTCCACACTAGATATAGGTAACTCAATTTTGTACCAGTTCAAATATGCCGATCATATAAATTCTTGTACTATTATTTACTCCGTGATATAAGCTCATGGCTTAAAAATCTTTACATCTTCACGAAGACAACAAGTATATTGTATCTGAATTAATACATAATATTATAATAGTAAACCATGCGTCATATTCTATTATAGTAGATTACTAGATGTTTTTAAGTTGTTATTATGATGCCTAATACGGTGCTGTCCTTTTGGGTCTTTTTTTTTTTAAATATACTACTAAGTAGTTGAAATGGGTTATTTAAATCATATTAATTGCCATAGATAAATTGTAATGTATATGAAACTACTTTCTTCTTTTTACCTTCTATATGCACTTCGTGTGCGCTATCTTGGGTATGACATGGCAATACATCCCGTGTACGAGGCAATCCTTGTGAAAGCACAGCTACCCAGTTCACCACCGTATTTAAGCAGCGGCGTCTTCGATTTCGTGCGATGGATATATATATATATATATATATATATATATATATATATATATATATATATATATATATATATATATTTATATATATGTATATATATATATATATATATATATGTATGTATATATATATATATCCATTACATTAACAGTTTTAATTTATAATAAACGCTAAATCAAGGAATAACACGTTGCTTTTACGTGTTGTTGTGTTTATAGCATCTGTCATAAATTAAATAATCTATAAAAAGCAATTATCAGATACGGTTACTCCTCCGTTAATAAATTTATTCGTCGAATAAATGCTATAGATCTGATGACCGAAATATTCCTGAAAGACCGAGAATTTCTAAATTGTAAAACTTACTACTAATCTAATATATTAAAAATAATGTTTATTAGTGACGTTGTTAACAATTGACAAAAATAAGTTGATATGTACACAAAACTAGCTTACTTGTGAAGAGGGATCAAGATAAAGTAGTAAATATTCTATTCATTTACTGTTGCTACCACATAAACTTTAAACTAATGTAACTTGATATAAAATGTCTAAGCTTATAAGATCACCCCCTGATCGTAGCATGTAACATCGGATTCTGATGTTTCCAATATAGTTCCAACTCCTGCTACACCGTCTTACATTTCTAAACGAAACAAAAGACAACGCCAGTCAAGCGACGAACCATTATCTTCTTTTAAAGATACTTACTTACTTACTTATCTTCACGCACAATCCCTGACGGGGTAGCCAGAGAGAACAGATCGCCAAGTGTCACGATCCTTACATACCTCTTTCGCTTCTTTCAGATTCATTATCTTGTTCATACATGCACGTCTAGGTATCCGAGTACTTTTGACCCTCCCCTCTTCGAGCAATTTGCTCACATGGTCTTCGAAAGTTAGTCTCGGTCTACCTCGAAACCTTTTAATATTAACTTTCGCGCTATATATTTTCTTCACCATTCGGTCTTCGCTCATGCACTCAACGTACTAACACTGCGTTATGTATTGCAAGGCGTGCACTCTTCGCTACGCCTTGCCTTTTGACTAACGCAGTCAGGGCACCATTGACTTTGTTCCCGGCAGCGACACGCCTGTCCACATCTAAATCACATCTTCCATCCCGGCTAAAAGCACTCCCCAAGTATACAATTTCATTTACCTGTTCTAGACATTCCTGATTTACCCATATTTCACACTTCGTTCTCTCTTCGTCCCTTTCAAATACCAGAACCTTAGTTTTATTAGTATTCAAACGGAGACCTTTAATTTCACATTCCTCTCTCATACACGTGACTAATGCCTGCAGTTCTGTCTCTGATGGTGCAATAAGCACTGCATCATCAGCATACAGCAGACAATTTACTTTAATGTCACCAAATTTCACACCCAAACAGCTATCTTTCAGCTTCTGTAAACAGCTGCTGAGATACAGTATGAACAGCCAGGAAGACATGACACAACCCTGTTTTACACCCGTTTGGACGCTAAAGATGGATGACAGGTCATGCTCTACCCGCACACAGGCTTTACAGTCACAGTAAAGTGACTGCACAGCCTTTAGCAATCGACCATCCACCCCATACCCCGGCAACAGTTCCCACATTTTCTTCCTTACAACCTTATCGAATGCTTTCTAAAGATCCACAAAAGCACAGAAAATCTCCTGATTAGCAGCCAGAAGCTTCTCCGTGATCATGCGGAGAGAAAACATTTGATCCGTGCATTCCCTTGCAGGTCTAAATCCGCATTGTGCCTCCCATAGAAATCTTTCCGATTTCTCTTGCATCCTACGTGTCATTACTTTCGAGTAAATTTTACTTGCTAAACTGGTCAAGCTGATCGCCCGATAGCACCCGCAGTCAAAATGTGAACCTTTACCTTTATATAAAGGCACAATGACTGCGGATCGCCAATCATCCGGGACATCCCCCGTCCGCCAGCACAAATTGCACAGCAGATGAAAGCTGTCCCAGACACGAGGCCTAGTGCCTTTAAAGATGAAATTCGAAATATGTTGGATGAATGGAAAAATACACATAACTCGCTCATAAAAAAATTGTCTTGGATATTGTATTTTTAAATAAAACTAATTTTACGAATTTTATCGCGTATATTAATCTATTTTTATATTCCCGACGTTTCGGGTGCTTTCCAGCACCCGTGGTCACGGGGGACTGAGGTGTTTGACGTCCTGCTGTCATAGTTAGCCCGACTACCTTCAGTTTTTTAATATTAATTTTTGGTCCGATTTACGCAGAATGAGCTTACAGTATCTTGAAGTCTAGCAGTGGTATACTTGGGTTTGGATTTGATTTTATTAATTATGGGATCCCAAGCAGATGGCAGCACCCATCCATTTTCTCTATTGAAATTAGGATGTTTTTTAATTTCACACACAAAGGATTCATACCATTTTGTTAGTGAGATTAAAGACCTACATCTCGCTGACAATGAAACTATGGTCAGTTTTGATGTTCAGTCACTATTCACATGCCTACCTATTGAAGACTGCATCTCAATTGTTACTAGAAAGCTAGAAGATAACAACATGCCTATAGAATATGCAGTATTACTCAAACACTGCCTCACATCTGGCTATTTATTGTGGAAAGAAGAGTTCTACATGCAAGTAGACGGAGTGGCAATGGGCTCACCTGTATCTCCCGTAGTCGCCGACATATTCATGGAGGACCTTGAGGAGAAAGCCCTTCTTACTGCTCCTGTAAATCCAAGATTCTACAAGCGGTACGTAGACGATACTTTCACAATTTTACCATCTGACAAAGTAACTGCATTTTTAAACCACCTTAATTCCATAAACCCTAAAATACAATTCACAATGGAGTTAGAGGCAAACAATACTTTAGCTTTCCTAGATGTTTTAGTCATCCGAAATCCTGATAACACTATTGGTCATACTGTGTACAGAAAAAATACACAGTTAGCTACCGTGGGAAAATCTTTGTTTCAGAGAGCACGAGGGATCTGTGACAGAAAACATCTGGCCGCCGAGCTTCAGCACGTCGAGCAAGTACTGCAAGACAACAAGCTTCGGGTTTCGCGCCTACGTCACAGTGACCGAGTGAAGCCAGCCACAGTCGAGCGTGTGCCTGCTGTACTACCCTATGTCAGAGGAGTCACAGACAAGGTTGGCTACATCTTGAAGCGGGCTTCCATTAAAACATACTTCAAGCCGCTGAAGAAGATTGGTCAATTTTTACCATCCGTCAAGTGTCATATCCCTCTACAAGATGCAGGGGTTTACAAGCTGGATTGTGAATGTGGTCTCTCGTACATAGGACAAACAAAAAGATCTATTAAAACCCACGTTAAAGAACATATAGCTGACGTGAAGCACCAACGTATCGGGAAGTCTGCAGTTTGTGAACATGTTCAAGATCGTCCCCGCCATTACATTAGATTTGATAGACCACAAATCCTCGCAAAAGAACACCGATTCCTCCCAAGGATGATTCGCGAGGCTATTGAAATTAAAAAACATCCTAATTTCAATAGAGAAGATGGATGGGTGCTGCCGTCTGCTTGGGATCCCATAATTAATAAAATCAAATCTAAACCCAAGTATACCACTGCTAGACTTCAAGATACTGTAAGCTCATTCTGCGTAAATCGGACCAAAAATTAATATTAAAAAACTGAAGGTAGCCGGGCTAATTATGACAGCAGGACGTCAAACACCTCAATCCCCCGTGACCACGGGTGCTGGAGAGCACCCGAAACGTCGTGAATATAAAAATAGATTAATATACGCGATAAAATCCGTAAAATTAGTTTTATTTAAAAATGTGTAGTGTTCGCGTAAATATAAGAAATCATTGGATATTGTAGAAATAAATTGGCAAAATATACAGATTCAGCGCTCAAATGAAGAAATTGAAAAAGCTCTTGATTTCCTTAACAATCTCTATGAAGATATAAAAAAGAAGGTTGGATGTCTCCAAAAATTTTATTACCGAATTTGAAATACTTCTAACAAGACTAGTATATATATATATATATATGTATAGCGTCATCATCATCATTACAGCCCTTCACAAATCCATTGCTGAACATAGGCCGCCCCCAAGGAATGCCACAAAGCACGGTCCTGAGTCACCTGCATCCATCGACTTCCTGCATGTCTCACCAGGTCATCACTCCATCTAGTGCAGGGTCGCCCTACACTTCGCCTACCGGTACGAGGCTGCCACTCGAGAATCTTTCTTCCCCATCGGTTGTCGGTTCTTCGGGCTATATGGCCGGCCCACTGCCACTTCAGCTTACTAATCCGTTGGGCTATGTCGGTTACTCTAGTTCTACTGCGGATATCCTCATTTCTAAGTTTATCACGCAGAGACACCCCGAGCATAGCCCTCTCCATAGCTCGCTGAGTGAACTTGAGCTTCCTCATACGGCCAGCAGTGAAGGACCACGTCTCAGATCCGTAAGTCATCACTGGCAACACGCACTGGTTGTACAATTTCGTTTTAAGATTTTGAGGTATGTCTGACGAGAAGATGTGTCGTATCTTCCCGAACGCTGCCCAGCCGAGTTGAATCCGTCGATTGACCTCTCGGTCGAAGTTGGACTTACCTAGTCGGACTATTTGTCCCAGGTAAACATACTCGTCAATAAATTCGAGATTAGTGCTCTCAACAACTACCGGCATAGGTATGACATGGACGTTAAACATGATTTTTGTTTTGTCCATGTTCATCTCAAGACCTATCCGTTGGGAGACACTATTGAGGTCATTGAGCATAATGCTTAGGTCCTCCAGCGATTCTGCCATAAAGACTATAATATATACGTCACCCTGTCTTACACCTCTCTGCAATTGGATAGGTTTCGTACTCTGGTTCTGTACTCGGATAGCCATCGTAGCCCTACTGTACAACCACTTCAGTACTTTGATATACCGACAGTCAACTTGGCACCGCTGAAGGGACTGCAGCACCGCCCAAATTTCGACGGAATTAAAGGCTTTCTCATAGTCCACATACGTTAGGCATAGTGGCAAATTGTACTCCTCGGACTTCTGTACAATATGGCGAACGGTATGTATGTGGTCTATGGTGCTAAAGCCCTTTCGGAAACCGGCTTGTTCGGAAGGAAGTCGTCAAGTCTGCGCGCGACTTGTTAATGTTATAAATACGACTTGTTAATATATATATATATATATATATATATATATATATATATATATATATATATATATATAACTAAAACTTGTAATTCTAAAAGTGTAAATTTTCCGTCTCTTAAAAACTACAATGCTCACTTTACAAAAAATCACCAAAATCAAAACTACACTAAACAAAGTTATTGCTGTTCTGTTGAAGCAAAAATTCTTATATGATGCCACCTCGTCAGCTATTGAATTTAACAAGGACATGACAGGCATTTATAGATCTCCATCAAAGAAAAACATCGATAATTTCATAATCTCATTAAATAAATTACTTTCAACTTACGCGAATTTTAGTAAAAAAAAATTAATGGGTGACCTAAACATAGATGTAAAACTCAATAATGAAGATCGCAACTCCGCAGACTACCTAAACTTACTAAGCAATTCACGGTCTTTTAAGTGGTCATACTTACTCAACTAGAGCTCATAATTGCAATTATTAAAGCTGAACTTCCATCAATCGTTTTAGAGAACCCTTTGACCGATCACACAGCGGTTATAACGTGTATAAGCTTAAATTACAAAACCAGTGTATAAAAAATAATGCCTACTGTAAAATTAACTATAAAGGAATTACTGAGGTACATAAAACTAAAACTTTTGATGATTTAATTAATCCTTATAATGTGAGTTAGTCAGCCGAACAGTTGGTCAAAGTTTTAAATACTTAAATTTTAAATAACACACTTAAAATCTTACCACCTAGAAGAGTACGCTGTATAAAGCCAAGGATCACACCGGGCCTTGTCCGTTGTACCTATAAGGAATCGAGAACGAATGCATCTTAAATGTAAAACTGACCCTAATAACATAATAATTAAAATCACTTAATCAAGGTACAAAAATTATTGTAATAACATACTAAAACACTTAAAAAGAAACTTGAAGAAATTAATTAAATAAATATGCTAAAGACTTCCATGAAGTCTTCCATGAATTTGGGACAACGCCTAGGGAGTAGGAGTACCGGAAAATATGCGTTAGAACTGATGCCAACTCTGAAGTGCACGTCGTCAGTACAATTGGCAGGATTTCGTCAGAGCCACTCGACTTGTGTATGTCCAGGGAGTAGAATGTTTTGCGTACTCAGCACTGTGTGAATCGCACATAAGGCATAGAGCACTTACACTGCGGGATGGTTGGCGGTGTGTTCCCCCCGTTATCGAGAGTCGAGTTGGACGCAAAAAGGGAGCCTAAAAGGTCGGCTTTCTCTTTGCGGTGTGGGCCAGTGAGTCATCCTCTCTGTCTAGAGATGATATTGATGGCTTACAGAAATTCCCTTGAACAGCCTTGAAGAGAGACCAGAATGCACGGGTTTCCGAAGGAAGGTGAACTAATTTCTCGCCAATTCCGCTAATGTGCTCATACTTTGCCTTGGCAATAACTCTTTTGCAGGACCTGGAGACGAACTAATGCTTCTTTTTAAGCATGCTGGTGTTTACATCTCGAGCCACCGAAGCCTCATCCAAGGCCAGATAACAGTCCTGCTTACTGCGTAATGCAGTCTTACAGGAGCGACCAAACCAAGGCTGAGATCTACCTCCGATGGGTACCACAAATGATGGAATAAAAAGTTCCATTCCCTGTAGCACCACATCAGTGACAGAGTCAGCAATGACGCTGGGATCATTCGGCAAAAAGCAAAGCCACCCCCATGGGCAGGATGCGTAGAAAAGAGCGCGAAAGAAAGACCGCATTCCGTCCTAATCCGCCGACCTGTAATGCCAAACACAGCGGCAGCCTGCAGAACGCAACCGCGAGGGGAGCGTGAGTGGCACCACACTCCGGATCAGACAATGGTCCGAAGAGCCGAGAGGGGCATCGACGGAAACCTGATATTCGGCTCGATGAAAGGTCAGCAGAAGGTCTAACAGGGAAGGTGTATGATCCTCCATATCTGGAATCCGCGTAGGCGAAGTAACCAGCGGTATGAGACCATATGCCAAAGCAAAGTCATAAACAGATCACCCCGCATGACCAGTTAAACGTAAACCGAGCCATTCGGCGTGGTAGGCGTTAAAATCGCCATGTATCACGATACAAAGACCTTTGACATAGTATCTGTTCCAATTTTATTGAGTAAAATAGAAAAGGTCAGTATCAGAGGGATGGAATATGCTTTATTCAAGAACTACTTAAAAAAATACGATCGAGAGGGTAACTATTGATGGTTATTTTAGTAATAATGCTCCTATTAACTATGGTGTACCTCAGGGTAATGTACTCGGACCAACTTTATTTTTAATTTATGGTAACGATTTATGTAACCTTTCTTTATTTTTTAAGAAAAATACTAGTCATGCTATTAAACATTACTAATATTCCCTTTAACCACTTCTGGTAAGCTTAAAATGCTTGTGTTAGAAGTGGTTCACGACAGTAGTTGAATGTCGGATTCGAACTCACGACCTTTCGAGTTCGCGGTCCGTGCTCTGCCATCAGGCTACTGACGCTTATACCTTAAATTAGATAGTTGCAAAATTTTTACTTACGCTGATGACACTGCACTAATCTTCTATGGAAAAAGTTGGGATGAAATGAAGTTAGGATTCATGCTGAATTAGGAAAGCAAGCACAATTACAATGGCTCAACCAAAACCTACTTACTCTGAGTATCTCTAAAACAAAATTTATATTGTTTGCAAATAATAAACAGCACTTACCACTGAAAACACATTTAAAATCAAAATACACACTTGCAAAAACAAAAGCTCAATTCAATGCAAGTGCACATCTTTAGACCCAAATGACACAGTAAAATACTTAGGCGTAATGTTGGATGAAAATTTGACATGGTGCCCTCATATCAATCAGTTGGTATATATCTATATTCAAAAAACTAAGACACGTGACAGACTATTCTTTACTCAAGACTGTTTACTTATTATTGGCACAGTCTATCTTGTCTTACTGTAGTACATCATGAGGTCGTCAAATTCATCTCATATAATTAAAAATTAAAATTTTTGTACAAATGACTTCAATATAAAATATTAACTAATAAATAGATAACTCTAAAACTAGCCGTGTAGTGGCGGTTAAGAATATCCACTACCCCATATCTTCCCGTGGGTGTCGTAAAAGGCGACAAAGGGAAACAGGCAGGAGATGGGCAGCAGCATCTTCCTGATAATAGCCAAAATAACAATAAAAAAACTGCGGTTGCCAACCCGCTCGCCAAGCGTGGCAACTATGGCAATATACCCCCCATGAGCAATGACAATAATAAACGGCCCCCAGTCCCCGGCGGCCCCGCTATTCCTGGCTACGGTGGCGACCATGGTAACGGCGGGGCAGGGGGTGCTAAGAATCTCCGGTGGAGGTTCGGTTGCCACCTACGACGACTCGACCTGGCAACATACAACGCACGAACCCTGAGGACTGACGAGAAGATTGTGGAGCTGGAAGAAGAGATAGACAAGTTACGCTGGCATATTATAGGATTATCTGAAGTC